TGAAACAATGTGTGCAGTTTTCCCATGCAAGAATTTGCCCCTAAGAAGAATCCCAACTAAACTGATTTTCACTAAATATAAGTTTTATATATGGACTGTGTGCTATCGAACAAGGTCCATATTGCCTGTTTATGGACCGATCCACAGGGCGAGGTCCATAAATTTGCAGAAAAAAGGTTTCATTGGGGTTTGGTTGGTGTGAGCCTGATAGGAGCAGTAGAGCTATGGGAACAGTCCTCTCAATTCCTCACATGGCTCTGCTGCTTGTTTCTGTCTGTCATGCCACAAAACCCCTAGCTACACAGCAGAGTTCTAGGTAACAAAAAGATCCAAGACATCATACTGCTCAGCTTTCAGAGTTTTGGGCAACTAGTCAAGAAAAAAGGTAAGTTAAGGCTGTATACGAGCCAAGTGGACCATCAAGCCACCATCTCTACACCTGGGTGGAGAGAGGCACTGTGAGAGAAAAGTATCTTGCTCAAGAACACAACACAATGTCCCCGGCAGGGCTTAAACCCAGACTGCTCAATCCAGAGATGAGCACACTAATCATGAGGCCACCACATCTCCCAAAGAAAAACCAATAAATCAAGAAAAACCAAGGAATAATTCAAGGTACATTTTTTCCTCAACATTTTATTGATTGTTGATTTCTTTACACCATTTAAACATCAGCGATGGTCACTTCAACTTCCACACCAGGCTCAATACTGATGGATGTCTGATTAATGCTGAGTTAAGGAAAACAATGTCATAAAGCAAATTTCTTTCCTTTTGATGAGAAAACAAAACTTCTTTTCAACAGAACCAAACAAAAATCCACCGTTCCAAAAATTCACAATAGATCTTATTTGAGTTCTCAGTGTTGGACTGGAACTAGCTTTCAATGGAGGCTCACAAGGAGGAATATCATTTAATGACTACCCGCATTAGCCTCAGTTACAAGCTAGTTCCAGTTGAATACCGGGAATATGAATATGGCCTATTCTGAACAATTTTCATTGAAACAACCCCCACCCTATCTAAATGAGAAAGTGCAGCATTATTTTGTAAAACAGACATTGCAAATGGAAAGGAAGCCAAGTTGAACTCTGTCCCAAGGTTAAAACCAAATATTGCTTTATGAAAATATAAATGCTAAACAGACAAATGTTAACCACAATGTCTAAAAAACCATAGGATACAATTTGCTTGACAATCTCTGAAGGGCTGTGAAGATCAATCAGTCGTTTATGGATCCTCATCTCGTACCTGTCCCAAGTCTTAGAACCCTCTCCACAGGGTGTCTTACGGGTGGTTATCTTCAGGTACTTGGTTGGCATACGGACTGGACCTTTGACCTTTAGCTTCTTGTCTTTTGCCCCACGGATCAGATCAGCACACACTAAAGAATGGAACAGCACAGAGTCAGATGAATCCAGGGTTTTCAAAACAAGTGGGCAGAGACACAAGTCACCGGCTACTTAAAGCACTGGAAGAAAATCACTTATGGGTGCTACAAATTTTCAGGGCCTGCACCTTGTACCTCATGCAAGGAGTAACCCACTTAGGCACCCCCTGCCCCCTTTACAAAATCCCCCTGCTACTTTATTTCAATTTGAAATCCCTGGAATCAAATGTGAAAAAACAAACTCATACAGCACTTGACTAGGATACCCTTGTGCTCATTAGCTTCAGCCCCCTCCAACCTCCCGGAAATAAGCCCCTCAATTTATAAGCCCATCCAAAATGATTAAGAAGTTGTATAAGCCCAGGGCTTATAAGCGGCAGTTTACAGTATATCAGTAAGCAACTTGTTCCTTTCTCAAAGTGAGACATACCCTTTTCCAAACTTTTAACATTACGGCTGGTAAGTGTGATACGAATCCTGTGGATCTGAGCCTCCTCTTCAGGAACAGCACCCTTTTCCTTGTATTGAGACTACATGGGAAAAGCATATAAATCTATTTTCAATCTTTATTTTTCGTTCCTCAATTTACATTTTTACAATTAGACTGGCCTGCAGATAGCTAGTACTGGTCTTTCAATGTTAAACCCAATAACAGTTCACTTCTCTTTTCAGTGGACCAAGGCGTCCAAGATTTTTGACAATTTAATACCACCACATTAATCACTGTGACAATACAATGCTGTTTTGAGCAAACACAAAACCTTGTGTTACCTTGAAAACGCATCCAAGGAATTTTGGTTTATATTTATAACAAGATCAACACTTTGACTGATACATAAATTTGATCACATTGTATATTGAGTTTTGCTATGGGGAGTTTTGAAGCCACTACATCTGAGTTCAAAAGAAAATTCCAATCTTGCTAGCAGTTCTCCTTTTAGAGGAACTTAGTACCAAGTTGGAACTTCTCTTTATCGTTTATTTGTGGTTAAAGATATAATTCATAACTAAGTGTGCAGGCAATTGTAGCTGCGCGTGACAGTTTGCTCGTTTTACAGAACAAAGATGATGAAAAAGTGCAATTGTTCACAGATGGAAAAAAAGATCTGGGAGGCGATTCAAGTGCTGCACAAGAACCAAGCATTTACATTATTGAACAATTATTAGCAATAAAATAGATTCATTTCCGGTTATTTATAAATTTAAGCTTTCTTTATTTAACACTTTTAACCTACCATACTGTAAAATGGCCGACTTATTCACGACGAACAGCGGTGAGCCAAACTCTTTCAAACAAAATGGCGGAGAGAGAAAGATCGGAAAACGTGGTCTGTCTTTATACTTTGCGGTGCGAGAGGTACCATGGGTATTTCGGCTTCGGACACAGTCCTCTTTGAAAATCAAAATGGCGCAAAAGTTGTTGATCGTTGCCAAGTTGTGATGGTTGTGTTTTGTGAAACATGAGTCGCAGTGTGAAAGATTTACGAGAGCTTATCAACGTTTCTCGATTGTCATATCGTGATGACGACGAAGAAGACGAGCTGTACCACAGCAGTAGTCTAGAATCGCTACAAGAATTTGGTGACATTCCTCTAGAAGGCGCGCAACCTGCTCTTCCAAAGAGACGAAACAAGGATTTGGTTCCCTTAAGTTCAAAAGAAAAGCGCGTAAGTCCTCCCTTGAGTGCTGGATCTTCAGGGAGGGGGTCACCATTACCGCCTATAGGTGCTTCGTCGACTGCCAGTCCATCTTCTTCAGGACGAACTTCTCCTGTCCAGTCTGTTGCTCCCGCAAATAGAGTGATTTCAGCCAGAAGGAAAGACCTTAAGACATCTAAACCTAATTTTGACTCCATTTTACTTTACATGGACTCCACTGTGGTGGGTGATTGGTTAACAAAAGCAAATAGTTTGATAAAACAGTTGACCTCTTGGTTGCATTATAATGACAACTTTATTCAATTTGCACATTTTTGGCTGTCTGAAATGCCCAGATCTAAACAAAGAGAGCTGATAGAAATGGAGTTTTCTATTTTACTGGAAGAAATTTGTTTTGCATTTGGTGCTGGCTTAGAAGGGAGATCAGTTTGTCGCCAAGATATTAGTGCTTTTGCTAGAGCTGTTTTCTGGGAGTACCAAGAAAAATTTCACAACTCAGAAACTAAGTATTTCTTTCTCAACATTCTACTCTGCTTGTGCTCTGGTAGGAAAAACAATTACCGTGCTCTTCTCTCAGATGTTCAGTGTTCAACGTCAAACAAGCAATTTGTACAACTTATACTAGCATCAAGGGCATTTGCAATCGTGAGTATATGCTCTGGGGTGCTGGAATTTTTCAAAGCAGCGTTTGACAGAAGCGCATATAAAGAAGCAGCAGATGATTCTCTTGTCAGCAAAAGTGTTGTTGCTATAGCAACTGAATTTGCATTTCAAGCTGTACGGAAAGACCTTCCAGATGTCCTTGATTATTTACTAAAGAACTATTCTCTTCAACATTACACTCTCAAAGACAGTGGAGGGAAAAGTCTGATTTTTGCAGCTGTACTTAGTGGCAAGGAAAACATGCTGGGACATCTGTTGAAGGTAATAAATGGTAAAACAAAGAGAATGTAATAAAGCATAACAAAAAATCAGGTTCAATGGAATGAAAACTCTTTGGCTATTTCAATGCAAACAATCTACCTCTGCCTTATGAAGCCACTGGCAACTGATCAAGTAGTAATTTATTGGAGCCTGATTTTTTTCTGGCTTGCTTTTCAGCTCATAAAATTGTGATTATACCCTCCTCTCCCAGTAATAAGTCCTCATTACAATAAGCAACCCAAAACTCAGACCCAGTAAACTATGTCCTTCAGCTGACCAGGACTTATTATCAGAAATTTACAGTACAGTGAGAGGATAAACTAAAGACTCTAATGAGGGATTTGTTATCGAACAATTTTTTTCCCACATCCTGACTGAACCATGTTTTGGTACTTACATATGACCAGTATAAATAAAAGGATAGTACAGGTCACCTTGTTGAACCTGCCTCATAGAGTGCAATTATCATTAGATATTTGTACTTCTTTCATGTGCTGTTTGTGCTCAACTGTGTGGAGTTGGATAATGAAATAATATTTATGACAAAGCCCTAGCTTACAGTCTATTGATAACTACTATCACCCAAGCTTATTCATAATCAGAAATTGCAATGTTATGTTGAATTTAAGCTGGATCCGAAAGTGAATGTCAATGAAAAAGCTCCTTCGGGCAACACTCCACTTCATGCTGCAATAAATACTGGAAATATCAACATAGTGAAGTTATTAATTAATGCTGGGGCAAATGTCAATGCTTGGAACCCTGAGTGTGAAGGTGCAACGCCGCTTCATCTTGCTATAATGAGTGGTAAGTATTTAAGAAATAGAAAATATGTACCGTGTTTCTATTGAGTTATAGAAACATGAGTGGAAGTTTGGGAGAACGA